TGCGGGCTCTTGGTAAGCGCTGCCCACTGAGGATAGCGCGCGTGGAGTATCGTGACTGCATCCAACTATCCCCGTTCCCGTGCATTTTAAAGCAAAGAAAGTGGCCCGCGGACCTATCCACTTCATATGTACATGGAGAGGACCCTCCTCGGGGGTGACAGTTTGTCATCAACCAAGTGGGATGAGGTGGAAACCCATATTTTTCGCAACCTACGACAGCCACTCTCCTGTTTCCCGCCCGCTTCACTGCTTGCATTGATGGGAGGATACGTTTGGGTCACGATGAGCATAATCAAAGTTCGTGTCACACAGGGCGATGACATGGAAGACTCAAGGCAAAATATTCGTCAGATGTTCGTCTACAAGGAAGAGCAAGTCCTCCACCACTGCCTCCATAGTCGCGGTAGACAACTGTACTTGAAGCAGCCGCCTGATCCCCAAGAATGGAGCACTCGTGTAGGTTATCGGAAGCTGCTGGGAGGCACCATCAGTTCAGCTTTTTGGACAAGTCTACAAGACTTACCATTAGTTTCCAGTGAAGGGAGACAAGTTATCACAGCAACCTGAGGTTCATAGTGCGCTGAGTCAACCAAGTGTGAAGACGCCAGGATTGAAAGAAATGCTCGAAAAGAACAAGTGAACTGGAGTATTCAACCAGGACACGGTCTGCGTTCGGAAGCGTTGGTAAGATAAAATAGAAGTCGCCACTGGATAAGTCAGTGAGGAGAAAATGCAGAATAACCTTTGGAAACGCCTCTAGGTAAGGCTCCTACGAAAGCTTACAGAAGTCGAAAAGCTGACTGGCCGTGGTATGTGACAAGATAGCGGTAATATGCCGCACTGGGCGTGTAGAGCGACGTCGAGCACACGTCTGAGACGCGTTGTTCTGCCCGGCCATTCGGATTGAAATGTTAAAGGCATGGAAAGGATTGATATCTCCAGGCAGCTGAAGGTGGTTGAGCCCTTAGGATGAATCCCTACGTCCCAACAAGGCTACAGTGGAGCTCCCATTTCATGCTACTTGCCCGATACCATCTCTCGCTGAAAGGTCATGTCTGGAGGAAGAGACACTGGCAAAAAGGAGGTGTCGGAGCAACATTGCGCTCGAGCGCCCTCACCTTGCAACCTTTTGCCGCGAAACCAGTACATGCTTCTCTATTGCGGAGGGGCACTGGCCTTTCCCCACACTAGCTTCTACATTTCCATAGATCATCGCGTACCTAGGGTGCCTTTATTATTGGGTAGCGCGCTCCAAAGCAGAGTGCCTTTTTATCTTTAGTGCATTTTTGCATGTGCACCTATCTTGTAACTTCTCTCATTTTATCCTTTTCTCAACTCCTTCCCCTGTGTAGTCCGTGTCCTTGTTTCGTCGACCCTCATTACTGATGAGCTTGGGGATTGGCGAGACAGTGATGATTCGTCTAAGGGGACAAGCGGAACGGATCATCTGCAGTGTTTTGGAGTGTTTTTATCCAATATTTTGTTTTTCTACTTCTAATTAGCCCCTGTGCACCAAATCACTTTCAGCGGGTGATGTTATGTAAATGAATTTGCCTTCACTAACCTTTTCAGTATTTTCACCAGTCGACGAATGAGGTGTGAAGAAACCGATTACGGTAACGATAGTGATGAACGCGGACGGGATGATCAGAGTGAAGAGGTAGTATGACGGATTGCGTTTAATGGCGAAAAAATACGATATGTCCGGATATGGGTTGGGACAGCAGTCATAATATCTGAAAGGTTTGAAACAGTTTGACTAGATAGTTGAGCAAATTATCACAAATTTCTTACTTCAAGTTACTCCTGTATTTGAAGTCAATGAGTTTCCATTCCATGTTGGGAATATAGTGATTCAGAGCTGCCAGATTGGTCCTGAGAAGATTTTGTTGTGAATGCCTGGTAATTCATTAATTCATTGCATAGCTATGTTCGTCTTCTTGGCAGATTACTACGAATTAATCGGTAGCGTGGCACATGCAAATCTGTCAGCAGTTTCACATGGTCCGGGGATGAGCAGGTCATACCTAGTGGACCTCAGCGAGGGAGGTCGAACCTGGGCTGGGAGGGGGAGGGGGGGGAAGGTAGTATTGCCCTTGAGAAAGTGCCATTAGTGTTTCTTGACTTATTTCGGTTTCTCCCAAGTGACGTGTGCTAGCACCCCTTTTCGGTGCTGTCGTAGTGCTCGGGCCGAGCGGCCTTCTCTTCGCTGTCTCGGAGCGACGACAACACGAACTCTGGTCGTCTGCGCTCTTGATAGGCTGAGCCCGCGAGGGGAGTGAACGGCATACTGACGGGAGTGGAGCCGATTGGCCTGCAGCTGCGGCAATATTATGGGCGTTGCAACAGGCGGTGACGTACTCGTGTTGCGTAGTGCTGCTCGAAGGTTTACATCCGCTGAAGCGGGAGAGTTCGGAGGCGAATACGGGTCGCCTGATGTGTCCCAGGACATAAATGATGTTTCTAGAAAAGAAATACATACAGTCAATGAACGAGGGATGTGGTGTTCGAACTGTTGTTAGTAAGCTTTATAGGCTTGCTGTTATGCTGGCGACAGTGTGCAGCAGTTATACTCCTTATCCCTGAGACGGAGTAGGCGTGGCTTTTGAGCATGGCATAGGACGGGTTTCTCGTGGGATACTTCAATTTGAAACAACTGCTATCTTGTTCTGTGTTAGATGTAGACATGATTACCTGCTCCAAAATGACAATATCTCACGAAAACCTGACCGCCGCCATTTTAAAATCAAGTACGCAGCCACGCCTACCCGATCTCAGGAATTTCGAGTATATCTTGTCACCGTATGAATAAAATTCCCAAAATGAACTAACCTATTCGTACTCGGCTCGGCGGTAGGCTCCTCAGCTGTATAAAGCATTATTTGTGAGCCATCATAGGACCATGACGCCAATAAAACGTAACAAATTTGCTGCAAATGTGATTCTGAGCAGAAAAAAATCTACAATTCGAGGAATAAAAAAACAGGGCAGTTTCTCCCGTCAATGACAGCAGAGCATGAGAATGTTTTAGTACTATCTGTGAGGGTAAACTTCTTCGGAAACCGCATTTTCTGAAAAAATCAAAGATCAGCTCGACTCGCCGGGGCGCCAAATGGTTCTGAGCGAAACTTGTACCAGCCATCTTGTGAAGACCTGTGAACTTCTGCAGTCAGAAAGGCCTACTCGTACCATTTCGCAGGGTCATAGCTTCACAAGAGTTTACAGGTCTCAACTAAGTGAACGTGTTGGTCAACATGAACCAGAACGGAACTATCGAGAGTGCATGGCTTACCACTCCCCCCCCCCTTCCCACTCCCCCTCTCCTTCAGCAAACCGTACAGCTCCCACCCAAAGACATTAGAAAGACGATGAGATTGAAAGAATGCATGATATCGCTCCTACTGCTCACGACGGGACGCGCACGAGACTTCCAGTCTGAACTGTGTCAAAGCATTGCTTCTGAAACCCCGGGACGGAACTGTTGATTGCTACCAGCGTCCCCCTGGAAAGCCAATATTTTTCGGATTGTCGTGACTGCAGTAAAGCAATACTTTGGTTGGAATTGACCTCTGGAGGTCAATTTCGAAATAAAAATGGAATATCGGTGACCACTAATCTTGTCCCTTCCCATACACCATTACCGTAATCGCCTGTGCCATCTCTCATTTTCCTTCCGCCACTTCGGCCTTGACAGCCAGGGGGAAGTGAAGGATTCAAGGATTCGTAGAATGACAGTGCCCCGAGTTATCGGGTCTTCCGTGATACCATTTCTTCGAAGAACATTGTTCCTTCCAAATACAAGTTGTCTTCCGAACTAGTTCGTTAAACAGGCAAAAAATTCACCACCCAAGCTGAAGCGAAAATTGAATTTACGCCTTGCATTTTACAGGGATGACATCCATAGCTGCCAGAACATTAGCAAGAAGTCCATAATGACTACGGTGTATTAATTTGTTCGTTTCTTCGCAATAACTGAGCGTCATCCCACCTCATCCCACTAAAATACAACCGAGTTTTCTTGCCAACCCAACGCTACATGTAATTAAATCAGCACGGAAAACTCCTAGAGCTAAATTTTGAGTTTTGCATAGAAGACCCTCGAAAATCCGCAAATATAAAAAAGTACTGAAAAATTCGAATGTTCCAGCTGTGCCAAGGAAAAAGTAGGAATCCTTACTTGATCGTACGGAAATCTCTCAAGCCGAAGGTCGCAGGTGACATCAGTCATTAGGGCACGGAACAGCGAAATACGTCCATTGTATTCAATCTGGACATTGGTTTGCATCTCGCTTTCTCGAATATTCATGTTGGCACTGAAATGGAAGTTCTAGGAGTTCCGACAGTTATTTTACACCATTTACTGATTCTTTTTTGATTTACTGCTTTTGTTTTTTTCAACATACATTTAGATTTTTCTCATATTGAACTATGTCTATTATTTCTGAGTCTCATTTTCACCTTTATTTTTTTAATCTTTACTGTTTTATTTTTATCTAATTACACTTTTTGGTCTTTAAGATCCGCTATTATTATTTTTTAAGTGCCACTTTCGAACTTCGCTGCATCGCTGGCACGGCCACCGATTAGCTCATCATAAACTCCCCTTTCCGAGGAGGGTAGCAGTGTGTACCTTGCATTTCAGTTCTATTTAGAGTTGAAGCTGGTTGTTTTGATCGTGTTCCCATTAAGTCCGCCGCAAGGATATGAGGCCAATTTGCAACGAGATTCTGTCAGGTGGTTGTTTGCAATAATGAGGAGTTGTTTATTTAGCTAGTTTTTTTTGCAATAACTCTGTCATTTCTCTTGCAAAAGTTAGGCTGCGTTTATACTTTGCGGCAGCAGTAGCGTGGCGCTGTCCAGCGTAGGCGCGCGTATGGCGCTTCCAGCCGGCCAAGGAAGTAGAGACTACGGCTAGCTGGAGGGTACAGAGAACATCGATAAGCGCGGTACTCTCAACTCGCCCTCAGTCTCTACCATACACATCGACTTCTGCGTCTCTGACGGCCACATAGTCTCTACAATACACAACGATTGCGCGTCTCTTACGGCCACATAGTCTCTACTCCCCTGCCGCTGCAAACGCCAGCAAAACGCTGGTGAAACGCTGGAGAAACGCTGGCGTACGCTAGCGTTACGCTGGAAGCGCTACGCTACGCTGCCGCAAAGTATAAACGCAGTCCTTACAAAAAGCAGTTTTTTGCACGTCCGAAAGTCCAGTTGGCTCAAAAGGCGCGCTGGACAAGATTGCTGGCGAAGATCGTGCGACTGTTGCCAGTGTCAGGTGGAAGAGCTGCGAGAGTGCGTTTAGCGAGACTGTGTCAGCCCCTCCACCAATGACGTTGGCGACAACCGCCCGCCTTCAGCAACTGAGCCCACTGCCTCTAAAAACAAACACCTCCGCGGTTCCTGGTCCTTGCCATGCATGAGATCAACGGTTCCGTAGCTGCAGTAGCATGCCACTTCTCCGCTAGAAACTGCATAGAAAAGAGCCCTGAAGAAAAATTATACCGCGTGCCGGATTTAGACTCGCCTCGCGCCTAAGCGCGCGCCAGAACCAGCTCCTACTCATGCCAAACGTGCTCTTCATCTGCACCCTCTCACTTTATGCTTGATCTCTATTGTGGAGCGCGATAAAGGAAGTAGAAAGCCCAAGAAAGCAACATCTGGACAACTCCGATCCCTAGTTTGATAAGTATGTGTCTAACTCATTACTTCCATATTACTATTAATCTGTGTTAAGTAGCATTATTATTATAATGAGCATTGTTACAATGCCTTTGTGCTGCAGCTACGCGATAAAGACGTTAAGGCAGTTGGCACGATGGTTTCCTACTTAGCCTAAAATGCTAGTAGGGCGCTGTATAGTGGGGAAATGGCGAAAGAACGGAGTGAAACGGTCAAAATCTGCGAAGAAAAAGCCTCCGTTCTCAGTGACTTGTAAATCGATTTCGGACGAGTTTCCCGTAGGCATCTTACCAATCACCGCTACCGAAGATACGGCTGCATATGTGTACCCATATATGCATGCAGGCCATACACCGCCGCTCCATACCAACCGGCGCAGTTTGTCGACGGGGGGGGCATTCTGCTTTCCATAGACGTGCCGACCCACCTAGGTAGCTTTTTCTCGAGTTGACACGTTTTAGGATGGTGGCTAGACGATCCTGCACCAGCTTCACAAGGGTTCACAAGTTTTACCAGGGTGAGATTTGTGAATTTGCGAACCGGAACTAGGGAAGCAATGGTAGTAAAAAATGCCCCCCCGTCGACAAACAGCGCCACCAATCCCTTCGCTTCATAATTTGCTTAGCAAATGAATGAATACGAGCGTCAGGAACGGTCGTCCATTTGTGGGCGGGCGGGCGTGGCGGGCGTTTGGGACGTAAAGTTGTGGCTTGATAGGGCCCTTATAAGGGCACCTTCCTCGGGGAAACCGCTATGCAGCGCCTGCCCAGGGTCGCGGAATTCTATCCTGCCAGGAGTATTGATCCTAGTCGTCTTGGGGATTTATCGTGCCAACTGCCTTTAAGACGGTTGAAAACTCCATTTCTTGGCTTATTCCAGTTTTTTTTTCGCTGCCATGAATCACCCGGAATGTCGAGAAAGTGTTTCATTCCTGACAGAATTTTGAATATGAAGGGACGTTTTTGGAGAAATTCACTCGAAATTACTTTCGGAAAATTTCACAATGCATCAGTTCCCCTCCAGTTCCGTGAATGCGATTCGCATGACTGGCCAATGCGATGAACTACGGAGCGCTAATGGATGAAGGACTCAGGCGCATTCAGCGTACAAGAATAAAAACAATAGCTGCCATCGCCGTCGAAAACGATTTAGCGGCCAAAAATATTCGGAGATTATACGTCTGGTCATAAGTTCCTGGATTGGATCGTTATTAAAGCTTCACGTTGTTTCGATGCTTTTTAACGCTACAGTACGGGTCGAAAGTTATCACAAAAATTTATCACAAGAATGCTGAGTTATGGGTAAAAGCCAGGCCCACACGGGACTCGAACCTGTACTCGATGGACTGTACTGCAGTACATGGTTTGCTTCAGCCAGCCTCCAGTTTTCCTCCAGTTGTCATCGCTTACCCGCTTCAACAACTGCTGGACAACAAGCTGGCAGCCCAACAAACCCAGCCTCACTGAAACGCCCATTCATCAGCAGCGAACGAGACTGTACCCCCTTTTCACCGATTCGCGATAGCAGTGATAAATAGACTCTTGAGAAAGCCTCTTCGATTTAGGATTAAACTGCCTGTGCACTCTCTGCAGGCTTACTCGCGACCACTAAGGAGGGACAATCAATCGTCTCCCATTATGGGTGCTCAGCTCGGGTCTACGGTGACGTTGAAAAAGTCCGCATTCCTCCCCTTCTTGAGCATTTTACGCCGTTTACCCACAGATCCAGAAGGGTCAGTGGGGTGGGCTGATTTGCAGACTAGCCATTTGTCCAGTGCTTTGAAAATTTTTTAAAAAAGTCATGGACCAAGGGGAGGCGATTTTGAGTGCAATTATTTCTGCAAGTACGCTCCTGTAGGGATGCCTGACTGTAGCAGCAGAAGCTACCTACACAGGTTGCCGGAAGGTGCTTCAAACCGAAAAATCGGAAAACAGTAGATAATTGGGCGCAGTTCGGCTTAGGGGAGGCATTTTGCACTTTCGCCGCTTCTCATCATCGTCGTGTTCGTTTAAAAGAGTTGGCAGGTATTCTCTATAAGAGGTGACTGGTGCCATTCACAAGATTTCTGAGATCCCTTCTTGATGGCTGCACACGACGGTGGGAAGGACAAGCTGGGTATGTGACAAGAGAATCGTAATTCGCCGCGCTGATGGGCGTCGCGTGCGACGTCGCGCCCGCAAATGACGATGGTTCCAGGTCGTAGATGGCGACAACAGGCAATTCAGAACGAAAGAATTCATGAATGTCTACGATGACGGGGTCTACATGAAGTCCGGTGCTCCAATCGACAGGTTAACACGAGTTAAGAAAACGCCGCGCCCATCGCCGCGCGCGGCGGAGCGGCAAATTACGATTCTCTTGCCCGTCTCCCCAAAAACTCGCCCCCCCCCCAGTCAAACTACGCCAAAAATTTCCGTCACTTTTCAGTTTTGTGAAAATTTTTTGATATATGTTTGTATTACAAAAAGATTGACTTACTTATTGTACACTAGCAGATCCGGTCGCCAGATCATATGCGAAGGTATGTGAAGTTCTTTGACGCCGCCAAATTCCTCTGGATTCCACGTTAAAAACTCATCGTACCAGTACTGAAAGACTTTGTTGAACGTTGACAATATAGGGGTCAATAAGTAGTGAGAAGGGGCAGAACATTCGCCTTGTCAAACTTTCCAGAAAGAAAATGGTGGGCGCTAATAACCTCGGGGGGGGACACACCTGTTAGCATTTCACTACCGTGTCTCACACTGCAAGTCCTGTAAACACCTGTCAAGCTGGGCGGAGTGGTGCTGACGCCATCGACATCCCGGAGACAGAAGGGGCGTGCCTGCGCACTTCATTCAAACGTGGCTGCGGCTGTGTTTCTCTGGTGGGATATTTCGTTTTGGGGCACTTGTAATCATGTCTTTGTTCACCACAGGACAGGGCGACATGTGTCCCAAATGGAAATAATCCTAGAGGAGATGCATTCTACACTATGTGCAAACGGAGTACGTAGCCACGCCCACTCTATCTCCGGGATAAGGAGTGTGGCATGGCTCACAGGTTGTCGGCAGTGTTGTCCAGTATTCACATTTATAGAGTTTACGGGATTTGGTCCGCTGACAAGTCTCATAATGGTGTGTCCCCCCACTCACCGCCCCCACCAAGGTTATTAGGGCCAATTTGTGCAAGCACGCGGTCGATGATGTCATGTGTCTCGCAAAAACCCCTCTATAATGGCATAATTCAGCGTCATAGTTTCTATAGAGCGCTTGAGTGTACTTCTCCTCTTCCCTAACTATTGAAGCATTACTTGTGCGATGCCTCTTTAGAAAGGAAAATGGCGGAAGCACAGATTCTCTCCATTATCCCGTAGAAATCACCCTCCCTTCCCCCAAACCTCAGAAAGCATGACAAGCTGTGGCATGTGAGTTTGCACTTTGAAGCTGCAATTAACTCCGGGGATTTACTGAACGCTCTATGGTGGATATAAAAAAGAGGTCCCATTGATGAATCCTGCAGGCCTTCATTTGTGGCGAGTCAAAATGCATATATGTAGAACCCCAAAAAATTAATGCCACAGAAAATGGGGTCCAAAAAAAGTTGCCCTTTGCAGAGGTCCTAATCCACAACAATGTCACTCTGTACCCCTTCCCCTCCGAATTTTCCTCATCTGGTACGATCCCTTCCCCATCCTGCCTACCATCTTCATAACTTTTTTCCCCAATATCCCACCACTTTTCCCACAAGTTCTCCAGGTTTCCTCCAAAAAACGGCTGTTGAACGGGAGAAAGGAGGGCCGGGTGGCAGCAGGTAGTTACTTTTGAACAACAGCCTCAGCTATCAAAAATGGTAGCTGTATGGCAGATTTGCTGCGAGTAGGGTAGGTAGGG